TGACAAGTGCTTGAGGTACTGTACTTGTTTGCTGCATGTACTTTCCTTCAATAAATATTAGTATTTCTCCTAAATCTCCCCCTCTGGCTGGTGACCCTGACATCATTTAAACTGGAGTGTAGCATGTAACAAGGCAGCACGGGAGGCAGCATTTAGGACAAAATATTAAGGGCTTTCTCAGCAAATACCCTTTTGCAATTGCCAAGCAGCAGTGGATTTCTTTAGGAAAAGCTCTATCTGGCAGAGAAGCCAAAAGACCTGACTCCAGCAGATTTTTCTTAGTGAGCTGTAAAAACTACCCTCTGCTGGAGAGAATCAGCCTGGAGCCCTAAACTTCCAATGCTTGCAAAACATTGTGGTGTTTTGGTCAGAATCCTTATTTTCCTGATAAACATACATAGAATACAGCCCATGAACTTGTGAATTTAGCCCCTGAGGGGATCTTGGGGGCTCTACAGTTTTTGTGTGAGTGCTGAACAATAAATGATCTCTTAATCAGGTGCTCTCTATCGAGTTAAATCTGAATTAACTCTTTGTAGCTCTCCTTGGTTTCATGTTGACATTGCTCTCTCTCTACAGACACCTCTTTATCTTGTAAACCACGGGGAGACCGGCCCCATCCGGTGCAACCGCTGCAAAGCTTACATGTGTCCCTTCATGCAGTTCATTGAAGGTGGCAGGAGGTACCAGTGTGGATTTTGTAACTGTATAAATGATGGTGAGTGATGTTTCTCTAATCTGGGATTCATATCAATTCCATAAGATTAAAAAGAAGCTATTCCTAAAATTATTTTCTTGACTCGCTGGTTTAATAAAAAATAGTTTAGGGAGATGTAGTAACTAGATTTATTTCACAAATGAAAAAAAAATCAATTCCCAGGAATAGTAAAGGGAAACATTTGCTCAGTACAGTTTAAAAAAAAAATATACAAAAAATAATGTTCACTCATGAAGTCCATTCTGGTATGATCAAAACTTTATTTTAAATTTTTTTTGCAACATAGGATACAGAACTGCTTGTGTTAATAATTTTGTGCTGAAATAAAACATTAATTTCTTTAAGAAATGAAAATTTACAGCAAGAAGCAAATATTTAGACCCATGTTAGCTTCATCCTGTGCATGACTGTGGGTGCAATGGTTAAATAAGCTATTAATCTTACTGTGACAAGTGTTGGTTTTCACAGAAGATACCATGCCATATTTGTTCAAGTGTGCTGCATGTGACTCATAACTGTTCTTGTGCTCTTGGCAAAATCCCAAATCTTTGCCAGAACTAGCCTTTCTAGACATTTGTATCAAGCTGGATTTCCTCAGCTGGATCACAGGGGTATGGTGCTTTCCCTAATACAGTCATCTTTTCAACTCTGAAACGTGAACTTTGTCAGACTGGGTCCAACTGCTTTGCTGCCTGGAGCTCTAATGTTTGTGCAGGCATAGCAGATAATAAATTTCATCATTTGTTAACGATTTCCACTCACATAAAGGGAAATTTAGATGCACTGGGAACACTTGAAAAAAGACATTTAAGTTGCAGCATCATTTTAAATCATCCTGCTATTACTACAGTATCTGAGAAAGCACTTGGGGAAAAAAAAGCTTTGATAAGGACTAAAAATGGCTAAGAAACTAGGTTGATATTCCCCCCACTCACACACACATGCATTTTTACAGGAAAAATGTGAAAAATAAACATTCTGAATATGTATTCATTGAGGAACCATAAGAGTGACTCTGCATAAATTGTTGGTACGAACCCACTCGATTTCTTAGTGCTTTTGAGTATATTGCATCTGCTGAAAGAATTTGTTGTGTTATTTCTCTGTTTCCCCAATGATAAATGATTTTTCCTGTTCTTGTGTTGGCTTGTAGTCCCCCAGTTCTTCTTTCAACACCTGGACCACATGGGCCGACGGATAGACCACTATGAGAGGCCTGAGCTGTCCCTGGGATCTTACGAGTACGTGGCTACCTCGGATTATTGCCGAGTGAGTATTGCCGGTGTGCAAACCAGTGCACAGCGTTATGGCAAAACAAACAAGCTCCTCAGAGTAAATGCACTTGTAAGCTGCATATCAGTTTCCAGGAACATTCTAGGAAATATGGATAGTACAATGTTTTTGTTCTTTTGGGCTGTGGAACGTGATACAAGTATGCACAACCAGATTCATGGATCAGCAGTCTAAGTGAGACATGTGTTTGGTCCTTCCCAGCATGTTGCATGGTCAGGGGATTTCTTTGAAATTCTGCTGTCTTGTTGCATTTTAGATGTATCTTCTACTCATTTGGAAGACAGATACATGCCTAAATTGCTTTCCCAGTACCCAAAACCTCAGCGAGGGAATTTGACCTTGTTATCTGTTCCCGGCAAGAGTCTTCTTAGTATTCTGACCAATAAATTACAGTGGAATT